ATGGCTAAACAAATGCTAAGTGGTATGCCTTTAACCTGTCTTTGACATGAACAGTAACTTCCTCTTAGAGCGGCAGTGGGCCTGAAAAGGACTGAAATGGACTCAGCCAGAGCCCAGCGCACAGGAAGGGTAGGGAGGGCCCCGAGGCAGAGGGGGTTGATGCAGCCCCCGCTCCCGTTCGAACGGGGCAGGCCCTGGTCCAGCACAGCAGACATGGAGGTACCCTTGCCCTGACGGGGCTCCAATTCCGTGAGAAACAGACAGCAGGGTGACGTATATACATACCATATACACATCCAATTCCCGTGAGAAACAGACAGCAGGTAACTGAAACAGGAAGAAGGTAAGCTCAAAAGGCACAAAGCCAGGGAGAGAAGAACCCCTAGAGACAGGCGAGAGGAACAGGGAGGCCTCAGGGACACAGGTTAAAGGAAGGGGTGAGTCAGGAGCGTGGATCCCCAGGACAGATTCTCTATTATGTTCCCCCACAAATGGGGAGGGAGGCAGTACTTTTCTTAATAAAAACTCATGTCAGTGGACATTTTAAACGATCTTTTTTCATTTTAAAAAGTTTACCAATAGCCGAGACCGGTTTGGCTCAATGGATAGAGCGTCGGCTTGGGGACTGAGGGACCCGGGTTCGATTCCGGTCAAGGGCATGTACCTTGGCTGCGGGCATATCCCCAGTAGGGGGTGTGCAAGAGGCAGCTGATCGATGACTCTCTCTCATCGATGTTTCTAGCTCTCTATCTCTCTCCCTTCCTCTCTGTACAAAATCAATAAAATATATTAAAAAAAAAAAAAAAAGTTTACCAATAAAACTACATACTCTCAAGGTACAGATCACAGCCTCAGCCTGAGATCCTAGGAGCACGGGGATCCCCCGAGTCTGTCACTGGGGGGTTGGGGTGGGGAGGTGAGGGAAAGAGCATGGAACATTATTCTCATTTTTTAAAACGTTCAAAGAATTCCCTACTCATAGTAAAGTTACACAGGTTAACAAACACCAGTCAGCCACCTGAAAAATCAAACTTAATGTTGACACTATTTGAAACACATGCTTTGATTTCATACCTAGCTATAGACTCTTGATTAATAAAAATGGAAAGAAGAAAATATCAGTAAGCACAGTTCCTTTGAATATATATATATACACACACACATACATACATACACACACACACACACACACATACATACATACATATATATCCCCCAGAGAGGCAGGGAGAGGGAGCAAGAGGCAGAAACATCAATGATGAGAATCACTGGTTGGCTGCCTCTTGCACATTCCCCACTGGGGATGGAGCCTGCAGCCTGGGCATGTGCCCCAACAGGGAGTCCAACTGTGACCTCCTGGTTCATAGGTCGACACTCAGCCACTAAGCCACACTGGTGTGTGTGTGTGTGTTTGTTTTTAAATCTTCCCAAAATAAAAAAATCTTCCACCTCATGGTGCAAGCTAGCGAAGTCTTTGTCAGTATGAAGGGTGGAGTTGCTGGTGCCCTGACGGGCCCTGAAGCTGGAACTCAGAGCGCAGCCGTGAGCACTGAGGCCACCTCTGCCAGCTTTCAGCAGGTCCGGTTACCATCACACAGCTGAATTCTGCCGTTTCCAGCGTTAGAGGTGGAGTCTCCATCACAACGCTCACTGCAAGCAGGCTAACAGAAGATCAAATTGAAAACACAACGAAAGAACAAGCTAATGATTAATTTGAGGACAAGCAATCGCCACGGGGGAGGGGGTGGGGGGGAATGTCCTGACTACTGAGATCTTCTAAACGTCATTTCTGAAGTGAATTTTCCGGACAGCAGAAATAAAAAATGGGGATTAGAGAGCAGTAAGAATGGAAGGCCAGAAGTACGGTTCTAGGTGGAAACCTCTATTTCTGGCTCTCACCAGTGTAGCCATGAGTCATGGCAGAAGCAGTGGGAATAGAATGTTCTAAAACCAGGACAGGGGAGCAGGGACCGGCACCTTTCACCACGTTACAACCGGCAGGATTTATGCAACCGCTTCTCAGTTCCAACTGTGCTCACCAGCAACGGACACGTGACCCGGAGCGAACGTAAAAGGCAATGCTTTCTGAGAATAGCAAGGACGGCTGCAGACGGCCGAGGGCGAGACCTAGGAAGCCCGCTTCTTGTATAATATTCACAAGCCCAAGGCCCACGGTCTGCTGAGGTGGATTCTGTCTACACAGTAAGAGCGACTCATGTGCATTCACCATCACCTAGAGCTTTGGTTCCTAAGGATCCTTTGTGGACGCGATCAGTGGCTGGCTCTAAGGGACGTGACTAGAGACCGTTCGGAAAGTAGCTCATCTGAATGAACAGAGTAGGAATGAACGCAGAAGAGGAATGAAGAATTTGGACAAGTCCATGTTTTAGGATGTCTCTGTTATTCCTGGTGTTATCAACATTCTAGTGAGAAGCAAAGTCTTATTACTTAACAAGGGAATTATTTCTTCTCTTAAAAAAATAAAAATAAGGCCCTAACCGGTTTGGCTCAGTGAATAGAGTATCGGCCTGCGGACTGAAGGGTCCCAGGTTTGATTCCAGTCAAGGGCATGTACCTTGGTTTTGGGCACATCCCACCGTAAAGTGCAGGAGGCAGCTGATCGATGTTTCTCTTTCGATGTTTCTAGCTCTCTATCCCTCTCCCTTCCTCTCTGTAAAAATATCTATACAAAATCAATAAAATATACTTAAAAAATAAATAAATAAATAAAATATACTTATTTTTAATTATACTTATTTTTAATTAAATAAGGATGAGTGCCATCATCCCATATATACATTAAAAAATGCCTTTCCCACATCAAGCATCAATGCTGCCCAAACTAGCTTATCATCTCACCCAACCTGTTTGTCTCCATTTGTGTTCTAGCCTGGTCAGTGCAACTCCACCCAATCAAAACCTTGGAGACATCCCAGACTCTGCATTCTGTGGGTTCTCTGACTCCCCCGTCAGGGAGATCCTGGCAGGGCCTGTGCTTAGAACCCTCAGAGGCCCCGAGTGACCTGGCGAGTGACCTGGCGAGCTGGGCCACCTGGCGGTTCAGCATCCCTCCAATGAGCTGTAGTTACAGGTGCAGAGCGCCTCAGATGCAGGCTGTGTCCCCACAGGAGGTAGTCCTGCCCAACCAACAGGGCAGAGCCCCCAAAAGGCAGCTGAGGTGGAGGTGGGCGGTTCCTGTCCTTCAAATGACAGCTGAGCGAGAAAGGAGAGTAGGGAGTGTGGAGGGGGTGCACAGGGGGTGGGGCCATCAGTGAAGACACACTGCATTTCGTTGTATCGATAGTTGCGTCAGGCCTGGTGCAAACCTGTTTCACAGTCAGAAGGAAACAGGAAAAGGTTCCAGGAGTCACAGGGTTATCGAGCACACACGGGAGGACTGCACAGGTTAACAACCCAACCCGGAGAAGCAGGAGAGGGCTGCACCTCAGCGCTCCTTCACAAGTAACCTCAGAACTCTGACCTCGGGGCCCCTCAGGAGGTGACCCTGCCGGGTGAAGAGGGAAAGATAGCCCAGGCTGAGACAGCTCGCCGTCTGACTTCTTTCAGCAGAGCCCTGGGTTCAAATTCTACTTTGGCCATTTCATTAGCCATGTATTCCGGGCCTGGCTTTTCTGCATCTTACGTCTCTCCTCTGGGAAGTGCGGCACCCCACTCCTCTGGTAACGTCAGAGGGGGGGTGTGGGCAGACAGGGGGGCACGATGGCTGCACAGCCTGCGAGGACTGATAAAAACAGTGACTCTACCTGCAGGGGACGGCTAGAAAAGCAAAGAGGAGCTTATACTTTTCATTGGAAATACATCTGTATTATTTGAATTATCTTATAAGAGCATTCATTTACTACTTGTAAAAACTTTTTTAAATTTACTGCGCTTGAGAGAATATTACTATGATGTGTACACACTTTAACTGCATAAGCACAAAGCTCTTTATAGGAACATAAAAGGCAGTAAAGCCTGGGCACGTCCCTCCTCACGAGACGGTTCTCAGCCCGTGCGCTGAGGGGGGACGGGCTTCGCGGGGCTCCCTGCACGGATGCCGACCACTCTCACCACAGCACGCGTGGCCGCAGCAGGGTTATCTTCACTGTCACTGTCAGCACAAACAACTTCCTTCGAGGATTTAAAAACTCAAACGTTCAACTCACTGATGTTTCAGAAAACCCCCAAATAGTTTTATAAAATGTGATGGGAGGAAAAAGGGGGACTGAGGGGCCACAGAATCCCAGCCCCAGCCCAGTTTTCCAGTGGCAGCTCAGCAACACAGGGTCCGGTCCAGGCGGGGGTCGGGGCCTCGGAAGATGAGTGCTGTAGGTCTCCCCGTCAAGTTCTGGCTCCCTGCTTCAGCACAAACCTGAGGGTTCTCGATGGAAAGGGGACACTGAGCCAGAGCTCCAGGCACCAGCCCGGGGACATTCCCAGTCAGTCTGTCTGAATGCTCTGGCTGGCTTGAAGTTCCCATCTAGCCAGAGCTATTTCTAAATGGGTGAAGCAACCGTTACAAAGTTGTACCTTACCACAATCTGGCCTTTTAAAAAAACACCTGATGGGAAAATATCCTTGGGTGAGCGTGTGGCTCAGTGGTTGAGCATCAACCTATGAAGCAAGAGGTCATGGTTCGATTCCCGGTCAGAGCATGTGCAGGTGTGCAGGAGACAGGCAATCGATTACTCTCATAGTTGATGTTTCCACCTCCCTCTCCCTCTCTGAAATCAATAAAAATATATTAAAGGGGGAAAAAACAAAAAACCACCTGGTGAGAAAGGGTTTTAGGTGGTCCATACTATTCCTGTGAAATCACGCCTCTGAGCCTCTCTACGAGGGAATCACAGCTTTCATTGGACTCATAGTGAGTCTAGAACTCACTAAATATACAAACAGAAGGCATGAGGAGGTGAGCAGAGACCAAGAGGAGCAAGGAGGGGACCACCATTAAACGCTAAAGAAGTGTAGAAGAACATACATTTTCACTTGTTTATTATTTAAATACAGAACACTTCACGAATTTACGTGTCATCTTTGCATAGGGGCCATGCTAATCTCTGTATCGTTCCAACTTTTAGTACATGTGCTGCCGAAGCCAGCACCATTTTCATTTCTGTAGTCCGTCCCTGTACTGTGGATTCAGTTAAACAAACGTGGCGAGCTTGTCCTGTTTGCCAGGTGATGAGGACGGGCACAGATAGGATATAAACAGACACACAGTTCCCTCTCTCAAGGACCCTGCTATTGAGCAAGAGGGATAGGGAGCCATCTGGAGTGTGCAAGACTTGGCATCGCCTCATCCAATTCCAAAGGGAAGAGGCCATCGGGGCCTGTGCCCTCTGCATTTCACCACCCTCTGTTTTTAGCCGCCTATAACCCCCTCTGCTTTTTATCCAGCCGGTGTGCCCACCCTGTGCCCGGGACCTTCCATGCACCAGCGTTCGGTGCTTCTGTAAAGAGTCTCACTCCACACTCTTGTCTTGCTTCTTTGGAAGGTCCTCCTGAGGCTCCAACTCTAAATAGCGCTGAATTAAAACTGTAAACTATTAAATTAGGCACTGTCTTGGACTGTACATCACATCACTATAAGGCCAATAAATCAAGATAAATTGGGTAAGACAAAGGGAGTGACACAGAAAATGGTTCCATAGAACGGTGGCAGTCGGAGAGGTAAAAACAGTGACGGACACGTATGGGAGTCCCAGCTGTAAGGAGCACTGGTCCCCGGTGCATCTCTGCTGATGAGCGGGCTCAGCTCTGTGGCACCTGTTCTGCTTCTGCTCTCTTCCTCACCTTCGCCACCGAAGTCATCCTTAACCTGTGAGGGTCCGAGTGACAGCAGCCCAGCCCCTGAAGGAACTAACCTGAGAAGTGACTCTGCATGACGATGTTACTGTTTCTCAAGAAGCCACTTCCTGACGTGAGCAGATGGGGTTTCCCTACACACTGCCACTACCGGGTCCCCTCGGGGCCATCTTGGAGTGAGCACAGAGAGGCAGGAAGCACAGCGCCCTGATGTAAGTAGATAGGCGTGTTCTGCAGCAATTCTTTTTTTTTTTTTTTTTTTAATATATTTTATTGATTTTTTACAGAGAGGAAGGGAGAGAGATAGAGAGCTAGAAACGTCGATGAGAGAGAAACATCGACCAGTTGCCTCTTGCACACCCGCTACCGGGGATGTGCCCGCAACCAAGGTACATGCCCTTGACCGGAATCGAACCCGGGACCTTTCAGTCCGCAGACCGATGCTCTACCACTGAGCCAAACCAGTTTCGGTTCTGCAGCAATTCTTAAAAACATGACAAGCGCTCCGCCTGGCCAACTGGAGTTGAGTCTGCGCAGCGATGGGTATTCCTTTTGTTGTTGTTAATCCTCACCCAAGGATATTTTCCCATTGATTTTTGGAGAGAGTGGAAGGGAGGGAGGAGAGGGAGAGAGCAAACATCAATGTGGGAAAGACACATCGATTGGTTGTCCCCCACACGGTCCCTGACCAGCCTGCAAGAGAAGTATGTGCACCCTGGTGGAAATCGAACCTTTGACCCTTCAGTACACAGGCCAACACTCTACCCACTGAGCCAAACTGGCTAGGGTGCGATCTGTATTCTAACAGGATTCCAAATGATTTGTTAGTTTGTTCTCACTACTGATTTTCTGTTCTACAAACTAGACTTTCTTCAGCAGGTTTATGTTTCTTCTCTCCCGCCCACACGCCCTCAGAAACACAAAAAAAGCTTTAAAAAATACCCGAGCTGATGTGCTGTTTCCACCTGCTAAAGGTTCCTTCTCCTGTGAAAGCATGTGGCTTCGGTTTCTACATGGATTCCTGTGTCAAAACAGTGACTGTTTGGGCGATCTGAAAAGCTCTTCTGAAGATCCAAGAAACGAACCAGTTATCAAATAAATACCAAGACATTCATGTTTTATTTTATCTAACATTTGACACACACTCAGAAAAGTGCCTACGTTAGAAGCTAACCTACTCCCTAAAGACAAGTAACCTGACATTCGGAAAGTTAAATACAGCTAAAACCATGGGGCTGAGAAACACAGGAGCAGAGGTCTCGGGCCTGCCCCTCCTCCCAGTTTCCCACGGCAGCCATTTCAGAGCTCCTCCGGAGGACAGATGTCCCAAGGAGAAGAGAGCACCTCGGAAGGAAGAAGGCCGATCCTTGCACCAGCTCCAGGACGGCAGCCTCAGCACCAGAGAAACCTGCCATCCCGAGATCCCTCCAAGAGGAGGTGCTGCGACGCACTGCTGATCCCCGAGCCTGTGCTTGCCTCTGCCTAAGCCCCGTTCTTCACCCGCCCTATGCATCCATCTAACCCCATGACAACCCTGCGGCAGGCCCCCCAGTTACCCCGATTTCACCGGGGAAGCCAGGGAAAGGAGGCAGGTGAGGAGGAGAAGGCAGTGGTGGGGCCCTCCACCTACAGCGCAGATGGTGAGGCCGCCAGGAAGTGGTATGGGGGCAAGAGCGCCCTGGGCCAGGGGAGGGAAGGTGGAGGGGCTGAGGCAAGGGTGCCCGTGGATTGTGGCTAACAGCCAGGAGGCGGAGTGGCTGGAGCTGAGCAGGCAGCTGGGAGACAGTGGGAGGGATCAGTCAGGAAGCCAGTTCTGAGGGCCATGCTGGGCACCGGGAGGGCTCTCGTTTTGGTTCCGATGAATTGGGAGGTCTTGAAAGTGTTCTGAACAGAGGGGTGGCGTGAACAGACTGAATGGAAGGGCAGATGAAAGGAAAATGATGAGCACAGCTTTCTTTCGGCACCAAAACACAACTACATGTTCTTGTGCCCTTTTTAAGCTAGATGTTACATCCCTGGCGCCCCCCCCCCCCCAACACTTACTCTTTAAAGAACCTGAGAATTAAAATGCTGGACTCTATTTTTCCACTAGTAACTAAAAATACGGGAATCTAGGGTTCAAGTCAACGGTAGGTAGGGCTGGACGCACGTCAGAAGCCCAGGGAAGCTTCTAGGTGTGGCCACACCACGGTGATGGGAATCAGGATCTTTAGGGGTGGGGCCAGGCAAGGTGGGATGTTTTGTTTTCATCTTCCCTGGTGAGATCCATGGGTGGTGAGCTGAGAACGGCCTGTTTAAAGCTTACCATACCACCGGGACAGCAGAGTGAATTATACTTTTCAAAGAAGCATCCACCTCTACTTCATTTGACCGGGGCTTATGACAGGGAGAGCAACCAGCAGCAGAACTAAACAAGCAGCAGGGAAAACATCAACACTCAAAACTGTTTCTACCACCTTTCCCAGGCCCATCACTGAAGAACCAATGACTGCGTTAGCCTGAAATAGCCATCTTTATGGTGCCTGTACCATTACATTTCACCCATTACATTTCAGGCTCAAGAACCTTTACTACACACACTAAGTTCAACGGTAGCTTAATCATAAAACCCAAGGCACAGAAACTTGCCTACCTGCTTCCCAAACACAATCATAACAATAGTCACATGACAGGCCTGCATAATGTAAATGCAAACTAACACTGAATAAAGCGCTTTTATTTACAGAGTGCTCGTGCCAGATGAATGAACTCTGATTTCGGAAATGAATGTCACTTCTCACAGGCATGTGCAGCTTCAGAAAGTTTAGGAGAGGGTTTTTGTTTATGCTCGTGGCTTCGCATGACTCATGACGATGATACGCTTTGTAAAAGGTATCTCTCAGAGTGCGTGGCCTTGCACTCGGTGGCTGGGTTGGGAGCGTGTGTGGCACATTTGCATGGACATGCTTTTCAATTCTTGACGAATGAATGCCATGTGTGTGACTGTGCTGGAACCCAGATGGCCATGCAGCTTCTGCTGGGCAGGAACAATGCAAGCTTTATGTTTACTTCAAAATGAAATAAACAAGGGACTATGTTCAATTGAACAGACCAACTTCCTTCCCTCGGCGGAGGAGAGGCACAAATCTTCCCTCAAAACGTATGATCCCAATCCCCACGCTCGGAACTAAAACCGTGCCACCGCCTAAGGTCTCCCAATCGGAACCCATGAGGCCCATGTGTCCAGCGCAGCAGTGGAAGAGTCACTAAACTGGAACCAGGTCAGGAAACGCTGGCCCACAGTAGGACATGTGCCTCCAGGGGCAGTTGCTGAGGTGGGAAGTGAAACTGTCCACGCTCAGACCGGGTACAGCTTGGGGAGCCCTGGGAAATAGAAGCAACCAACCCTTGACATAAATTATAACAGCAGATGTACAGAAACTAGAGGAAATTTCCAGTCCTTTAGGCCTACGTCCAAGTTCTATCCCCAAGGTATCGTGGCTTAGGCTGTACTATCTGTATGGGAAGGAGTAATCCTTTACAAAATCCTCAGGGGAAGTATTTAAATATGTGAACAGATTCTCCATGTGTTGCTGCAATCAGGTCTTCTGGGGCCACCCATTTCTAGATCCTCTAGGGCAGCGGTCGCCAAGCTTTCGGACCTCACCGACCACCAGTGTCTGCAGACCGCTGATTGGCAACCTCTATTCTAGGAGACCCTTAAGGAGGGCGTGTGAGATATTTTATCCGAGGTCTAGAGCAGAGCGAGGAGTAACTACCTCAGTGCATTAAACGTGGCTTCTAGTCTAACCACCTCTCGGCCTGAATATGTCAAGGTTTCCCAAAACTCACATACAAACCATAAGCTGCATGGAAATCAATAGTCCAGAATGTCTCTGCATACGTTTTACTAATCTACTTCTTCACAGCAAGCACCTCTCTTCGGATAGACCAGACAGTCATTTTTAAATTCACACTAGATTCTGAGAGGTCCTTCATGAGTAATAAATTGGTCCAGAGAAGGAGTAATTAGAGATACTTAAGCACACAATTCTAAGATGTGTCCACCAAAACTTAAGGCACCACTGAACCAGGGAAAGTGAAGAACCGCTCTCTGAAACAAACACAAGTACATGATTTGAACATGGGGAAGGCTAACTGCTCTCACCTCAGCGGACACACGATCATTTTTAGCTAATTACCTGATTTTAAAATTGCTTTTATTCCTAAAATTACAGTGTAAGACTGATCTTTGTTAGCATGCAGGTGAACACTGAAAACGTACAGTGTGTTTCTATCATAGGGACTTCCATTCCCA